GTGAGGCAAAAGGAACTGGTTATGACATAGGATGTGCAGGTCTGCAATAACTTAAAGAAACATGGAAAGGAAGTCACTGGTTCAGTTCAAACTTTTTTCAAACTTTTTACTATCACTGAATAGTCTGTGACTTTAAAACGTTCTAGAGAGGAAGAAAAAAGGCATGTAACATAATACTTATTTTTCTCTATCAATGTGCACATTTTAATCAAACTTCCATTAATAAATCTTTTCATAATTCAATCTGTTTTATTAAAAATGTGAATGCTTGCCAAAAAAATCCAAACAAAACAGATGTGGGGAGTGACAGTCAACTGCATTTGTAGCATAAATTAAGTTCTTTATGCAATCACTTTATTACCAGTTAAAGTTGGTAAAACTATATTGAAGAATGAAGTCTGTGTCCTACTGGTGAAACCCTTCTAAGTTTTGAAGAATGATGAATATTTATGTCATATAAAGTTGGTTCAAATTGCAGAGACCACCTAATTTGTTGAACCACCTTTCTGGTTGCCACTGTGTCATCATAGTTTCCACAGGAGGGTTATTCAGAGCTGCTCAGCTGTATTAGTCTTTCCCAGTTTTACTACCATTGCAGGGTCCCTGGGCCTCCAGCAGCCTGAAGTACAACAGCTGCCTCAACATGAATTTGGCACAGTTAACCAGAAAAGTGAGGAAAAAAAAATTGGGGTGGATATCGAAATGCTAGTTTTGTCCTCAGCTTTTTAATATTTTAAGAATAAATACAGTCTTCTACTAATGAATGAACTGCCCTTAGCTGGCTTATTTTAAGTTGTTTTGATGATCATAACAGTAATTTAAATTTCATTTGTATGTCTGTAAAAGCTCTATGTCTGACCATATTAGCAAGCACAGATAAATTGTTTTGGTCTCTAGGGAAGAAGCAACCAACAAAATAAAAAATCTCTTGCAGTCAACTGCAAAGAACTGGTCTTAAAATCAAGCTCCTGAAATCATATTTAAACAATTAACAGTTTGTCTTCCAAAACTGCAAGCACCTAGCCATTCTGATTTACAGTCTGTGTGATCTGTGGAGAGTGAGGTATTTCTGAAGTTGGTATTTCTGACAACTTATGTGTTAGGTTATAAGAGCCCTGTATTACTTACCTGCACTTTTAATATTTTTTTTTCATTTTTAATTTGTTGGTATTGGTGGAAGATGGTAAGCAGGGGCAATTCATCTATATTTGGGTGTGAGACAGGGGAGAGGGGGACTGATGTTTTCTTTATTAATGGAAAACTCCAGGAAGCTTGTCCTCATTATATGCTTTAGGTCCAGATCCAGTAAGGCAAATATCAGCCAATGTTCCAAATCAATTATTAAAGTGTCTTCATCATGTTCAAGTTCTTTTCTTCAGCAAGGAGATTGGCATTGATTGTTTTATGATTCTGTCTTGTTAGTCTCTGCACTGTTAGTCTCTGGAAAGCCATAAATATGCCAGTACCTCTGTGCAGAGGATCTCCATTAGGGCTTGGGCTGGGACCACCCACTCATTTCCCCAGAGCAGACCAGTAGCTGTCATAGAGCACCTTTTCATTAGCTCCTGACCTGGACTGAATGTAAACTGGTGACCAAGAGGAGAAAGGTATTTTCTATCCCATTATTGATCCTCAGGGCTGTCAAGTATTTTCATTAAAATTTATTAATAATTTCTTTATCCTTCTAATAAGTCTGCTATCATGCTGTTGTAAACTTACAGTTTTTTGCCTTGTAAAATTGCCAGAGCATGTAATTGTGCATATATGACTGCAAACCCTGCTGCTAGAAATTGGGAGGTTACCAGTGGCTCTCAATTCCTGCCTTTGTATGGGTCAATACGTGTAACAGTGAGCATGCACACCAAATGCCTTCCTGTCCCAAATCAGTTGTTTTCAGCTGTTTAAACAATTATTTGGATTTTCTTTAAAAGTTATCATTTTATTCACTTACGCCATCTGTTTTATTTAACACTGAGAACATACAGTGGGAAAGGAACAGTGACAGGATTACTGTGAAGTAAAATACACAGTGTCTGCATTCTGTTGGGTAGTTAAGATGTATATTGGATAATTGAAACAAGTTGATAAATACTAAGTTTTAATTGTGAAATAGCCTGATTCTGTAAAGTGGTTGTATTTTACATATTTTGTCACAAAGTATATGTATTTTACATATTTTGTCATATTTTGTCAAAAAGTAATGTGTGTTAAATCTATGCTGAGGTATTGACATTTTAGCAGTAGACTGCATTAAAGAGGACATTTTAGCTGGTGTGATGCAAGGTTCCTCACAACGCCAGTCTGCAAGATAACACTTTTATTCATTTTTTAAAATAATTTTTGTCAAATGTGGATAAATGAAAGTGATGGTCAGCATGAACAAATAGAGCTTTTGTTGATTGTTTTTAATCAGATAACTTTATGTCTTGATGGATATAATTAAAGCTTTTTCTCCCCTTTATCTGTGAAATGACCATTTGAGCCTGTAAATAGCACAGTTCTTTTGATGTTATGTATGCTGGCACCTGTCATCACTGTGTATTGTAGGTCTCCTGACTAGCCTGAACTTGAGTGCAGTATGCCATTTGGAAAGTGCCAAAAAGAGTAGAGCAGTCATGTATTTTTGGTGATTATAGTAAATAAAAATTAATCATGTTTGACAAATGTTTGTGGCCTTCTAATTCTGTAGGTAGAAGCTACAATTTTGTGACTGTATTCAATGAACTGTGCTTTGATATTCTAGAAATAGACACAAAGTGCAACCGGCTAAAACTAATTAATGTTGGTCTGTTAAAAAAGGCAATTATGCAAAATCTGTAGATGTTCATTCTGTCAGTATTAATGATACATATGCTTAGTGCCTCTCATTCTGAAGCCTCAAAGCTAGACTTAGATAAGCCATTGTAACTTTTGCCAGACCGCAATTGCCAGCCTTAGACTTAAATGTGAAAAATTGAGTGTTCGATTATCACCTCACCCTGCCAGTTGCTTTAATTGATGATTTTTTTCATCATTTTTTGTTCTTAACTATAGTTACATGCTATTTTAAAAAAACTGTATTTTATATATATATATATGTTTATATAAATGTCTCTTCTGCACTTGTAAAAGAGGAAAAATCAGTCTGGGTTTTGTGTCATATGTTTTTTTGCTTTGGGATTTTTCTTTATGGGTTTGTTGTTTTGTCGTTTGTGGTTTGGATATTTTTATAAAGCAGGATGGGCCACTGCAATATAAGATAGTGTACTCTAACATGTAATTGCACCATTTGGTTGATAGGAACCTTGTGCCATGTGTATTTGGCTTTAAGGAATATGGGTTTACCAAAGAAAGGTCACTAAATAATAAGGCTGAATTCTTACCCCGATGAACATTCATTCTGTGAAACTAGAATCCTGTAAATGGTAAGCCTGCTCGTATCTCTGCCAGGATGCTCTCTTGAAATGTGACCTCTGTGTTGGTCTTGGTGGAACCTGGTCTTCATATGGTTTTTGGTGTGCTGTACAACTTCCTTCACTCTATTTTATTGTCTCTAAGACCCCTGAGGGAAATACTGAGAATCTAAAGCAGCTGTAATCATGAACAGACCTCATTATTATTCCTATGTTAACTTGTGGGATAGTGCAGGATGTGTGCCATGTCTGTTTCCAGACCACAAAACTTGAGAAGGCCTATATGGTTGTATCTGTGAAATCACACTCAAGGCAACTTGAGAGGTGCAGACCACAATGCCTTTCTTGCACAGGGGTTAAGCTTAACTTTTCTTTATTCTGCAGGCTGCCTATTTTATAGCACAAACCACAGCAGCTAATTTCGTGGGGATAGGGATAAACAGGTTACAGGTGTTTTACTGAATATGTGATAGTGATTTGTGTTTGAGTATCAGACTAGACTAATCCAATATCACTGTTTTTTCAAGAATAATGGCCACTAATGGATCTGCTCTGGCTCTTCTATACCATAATGGCACTATAGTGATTTGGTGATTCCAGTGATAAGGAAATCTCTGTCTCAGAAAATGTCTATTCTTTTTACCAGTTTATTCTTTTTATCAGTTCTGTTAGGCTTAGTTTAGTTGGTTTTGGGGGTTTTTTCCCCTGACCAATTGTCATACCTTTTACCATTGTCTTTAAAAATTTCCATTTCTAACAGCTAAAACAGCTGTTTTATGGTTTTCAGAATTGATTTCTGATAAAATCTGACTTCCCACATTAAAATCAGAAATACATTTTTTTAACTTTCAACATTAACCCCTAAAATACTTTCTATTTATTTATTTTCATTTGTGGTAACTTTACTTTTGGCTGTGTATATAGTGTTATTTAGGATACAAGGCAAAGAAGTGGAGCTGCAGGGGACATTCAGAATGGACATTGGGCAAAGGTTTTTCACTGCAACGGTCACTGGGAAGTGGTTACAGCACCCAGCCTGTCAGAGCTCAAGAAGTATCTGGAAAACACTTGGCCACGTGGTTTTAGGTAGTCCTGTGAGGAGCAGGGAGTGGGAATGAATGATATTTATGGGTCCTTTCCAACATGAGAACTTCTAGGATTCTTTAATTTCATAGAACCATAATATGCCTTCCCTCCCCCACCCCTCACTGACTTTTTTTTTAAGAGCATGACTAAAGCTCTGTCCTAGTTCCTCCCTGATTTTAGCTTGGGTAAGTGTAATGCTTGTCCAGAAAAGTAGCATGGAACCGCTATGAACTCCAAAGCCCTTTACAATACTTTTTGCAATCTGTTTCTACCAGTTCCTTACTTTTTGGACATTGATGAGGTTGGATACATTTCTTCCTCAGTCTGGAGATCTGCACCACAGTAGCTGACCACAAAACTTATTGTAGCACTTAAACATTTATATTTATTTAGGTTAAAGCCTAGTGACAGTAGTGGCTGTTTTTCTGCAGTGCCTGGAATTTGGAAATTTTTGCTGGACAGGATTGTGCAGGGTGACATGCTGTTAAAATAATTTCACCCCTGATTTTTTTTTTTTTTTAGGGACGCAAGAGTGAGGCAGAGAAGTACTTCATGAAGGCTATTCAGCTGGATCCTACCAAAGGAAACTGCTACATGCATTATGGTATGTTTCAGATAGATAGGATTTCAACATGTATTCCAGGCTTGCTGTTAATCTCTCCAAGTGATTAAAGATTTGAGAAGTTCTACTGGCAAAATATCTTCTTTAAAAGGAAAGAAACTAATCTACCATATATTACTTCATTACCATTTTTCCTTCACTGTAGAGGGGGAGGTGAAGATTTTCATATTTTACGTAACTTTCCTGCTATGAGAGGAATTTCTGTATTGCTGCCTCTCTGGGAAAGAACAAAGGTGACTATTGCCATATGTCAAAGTTTCATGCTCTGGAATATTATTGTTAACAGTTTTGGCCTGACTTCACTTATTGTTGGTGGGTGGACAACCAGAAATTTTACTTTAGTGTGTGTGAGTTCCATATATTGAAGTGTCTTACAGGCCTTACATCTACCTCCTTCCCACCACCTTCTTGGCTTGAAATGGCTAAGTATTACAAAAGGTTCTGACAAGTTGGCTGTATCTTTCCTTTTACACCATGCACGTTGCATAAAGCACGCAGTTAATTTGAGGTATCTTCGTAACTTTGGTTGGTTTTGCTAGATGTGCAAAAAACACTTCCAGATGTGTTTAGTCTCAGGGAACCAAAATTATTTATCTTTATGGACTAATTCTTAATATATTTTAAAACTGATAATGGATAAATCTTAAAATGCAAGCTATGGTGTCCCAATTGGAGCATAGAAAGCACTTACTAAGTTTCATCTTAGTTTAGGAAGAAGGTGGGAACTACAAAGCACACTCTATATATATATATATATATATATATATATATATCTATATCTATCTTTGTATATTATTTTCACTTCTCTTCTGTTCTTACTGGTAAAATAAATAAAAATGAGTGGGTAAGAGGGAAAATAAATCTCACATAATAGCCATGTTTTAATCTGTGATGTCTTTGTCTGAATTGCTCATATGTTGTATCATTGGTCCTATGCAGTATGAAATTCTGTATGTTAGATTCCTAGAATCAACCTTTGGACATAAAACATGTCATTGTATTTAAATGAATGTAGCTCAGTGCTGCATTATTTTGCATTATGAAACATTGCAGTTCAAAGACTTGTCTTCTCTTTATGCCTATACAAGTAAAGATGATAGGGATATTTGTGCATGTAAACCCCATTATTTCAATTGGAGGTGAGTATTGTGTATATCTCAAGACAATGAGTAAAAGTTAGAACTGATGGTTTCTTGAAATCCTACTCAAACCCCTTCCAACTTTTGTTACTAAGAAAGCTGTCCTCAATTATTAAGAAATCTTTTATACAAATTCAGTGGTTGGTCTCAACAGTTCATCTCAGCAAATGATGTTAGGATTTAGTGTATTTTATTATTGGTCTAGAACTTTTTTCTTTTTCACTCATTACTCATCAACTTGCTTGTCCTTTCCTGCAATATTCCCTCTGTCCCATTTTCAAGTATCCTATAAACTAAAAGCATGGTTATTGAAATCATAATTCATGTCTGATATATTGACTTCTTCATTACTAGATTACAATATTAACATGGTGTGTTATTTCCTAATTAAGATTATTCCCTAAAAACATGGGAAAACCTTTCCTTTATTGTGTACCAGGTTCAAAAAGTGGATTCTGTCATTGTGCAGAGGTGATAATTAACATAAGCGAGGTTCTACTCAGCAGATTAGGAGAGAAGGGTGAAATTCAGTCAGTGTTTGGAATAACAGCATAGTGAAATGGTTGCTGAAGGGCAACAGACACAAGAAGATTCTCTTTAACAGCCACTAGGTCTTGGAGCATTATACCCAGAGAGTTCTTCTGAATGCATGTGAAATCTTTTCACAATATAACTTCTGATCACCTCACTGGTTCAGTGATGTTATTCTACATTTATATCAAAGTAGCTATGAGGAAGGTATGGTCTACTTCTGCTTGGCTCTTGTGTAGTACAGCTGGTCTCAAATCCTTGTCGCTTTGGGCACAGAACTTTATAAAATGTAAACTAAATTATCCTTGCTTTTTCTTTCTTTTCTTCCTTGCTTTATTTCTCTTCTCTTTTCCACCTATTTGTGTAATAATGAGGGCTATGTACTGTGTGTTACCAGGGGCATTCCAAATAATCCATTGGAACCTCTAGTGAACACTTCAAGCTTTACCTCTCCATCTCATTAATTTGTTCCAGCACCTTGTCACAGGTACATTCTACATCCTGGGAAAATACATCCATATTTTGCATGTAAATCTTAGAGATTACTTTTTTTCCTCAGCAAGATGTTGAGATGAGAGAATAAAGTAGTTGGCATCAGTCCTAAAAAAACACATACTTCACAAAGCAGCCAAATGAAAAGAGTGGTCAGCTGGGACATGACAGGGTGTTGATGGAGTAGCAGGAATGAATGGACTGAAGATTTTCTTCCAAGTGCACATGGATTGCATGCGCTTATAATTTTTGCTTCAAGGTTGTGCAGATGTTCTTTTTGACTTCTAACCTTCTGGACTTTTCTTGGAGCTATGAGAAAAACTGTCAATATGCTCTATCTTTTAAGAGGCTTACCTTTGTATTATAATGTGCTTTAATTCAAGCCGTAAGCCAAAGCTATTTTTAGGTATGACTTGGTGCAGGAGGCAGCTTATTTAATCACATGAAAATTTGGAGGGAGTGGAACAGTTTCATGGTTTCTCCTTGAAAGATACCACCACAGCATGTTTCTCTGCTCAAGCTGGCATTACAGTTAGTTTTCTATAGGTACTTGGCTGACTTTGGATTTAAGGGGATTTAAGTTTTAAGCAGTGTTTCCCAGACTCATTATGCTTGAGGATGTCTGAAGGGAAAAATAGTGGAAAAGCTGAAGATATATAAATCCCTGTAGACTGCTGTCATGATGCCACTTCATTGGACATAAGGGGAAATGGCTTTTTTTCTAGTGACCAGAGAGGATGGCAGTTCCCTCTCAGATGGAAATGCAGGCTACTGCCCACCTGACCACCTTTCTTTTGCCCTTCTCATGTGTCAGTTATCTGAACATCTGAACTTGGTGCAAAACCTTTATATCTTACAAATACATGTTGGTTGATGGTTTGCTACAAGCTGTTCAGGTGCACAGTATGCTACACCTCACAGATGGAAGAGAGAAAATTCTCATGACTCAGGAAGAAGAAAAAGTGAGAGAGTGAAGAAGCGCCAAAACTTTTTTTTTTTCACAATATACACGTTTTTGAACTAGAAAACTAGAGGAATATTTTTGGATACTGAGTTTGTATGCTTCTGTAAAGTTTGAGGCTTTTAATTGGATATTTTTAATACACATTTTCTAAAGATTGCCTAGAATGAACATTTGTGACTAAAAGAGGTCAAACTTTATTATTTTTTTTTTAATTTTCATTTCTTTTTTTGGGAAAGTTTTCTTCAAACTGACATACCCACATCTACTCAAGGTATTGGCAGTCATGCATCCCCCTCTACTTTGAACATTTAACTCAAGTAGGCCATTTTGAATTCTGCAAGATCTTGGTAATGTTGGTCATCAACAGATTTATGACATAATTGAAGTGATCTCCACAGACTATTGATTCTTCCTGAGCTACTTGCCTTGATGAAATGAAAGGGATGAATCTAAGTGTCTGTCTGAGAAACCACAAAGAGGTACCTATGAACTAAACAAGTTAAAAGGAACTACCTTCTAAATATTTTAGGAACATAATGGCATCTAAAGAATCAGTGCATCAAGTTTGTCAACAAATGTGCCCAACATAGGGATGTTCAGTCAGGTCAGACAAGTGCCCTTAAGGCTCAGAGACTATGTAATTTTGGATATAGTTTTTGGATGTATGACAAAGGAGATAAAGGTCTCTATTTCTGTCTGCACTGAGCCTATCTCAGGAGAAGCTGAAGAAAGATTATGTATAAAATCTGTCAGCGCACAGAGATGAGGTGCATTTCAAACAGTGACATACTTATGTGCTCGTCTTTTCTAAAAAAAAAAAAACAACAAAAATTCTTCAGTAAGTAGGATGCAGTGTAATTGAGGCGTTTGAAATTGTTGAAGCTTTCTGTACAAGCTTTTCCTTAAATGAAGAACACCATAGATCTACAGTGATATTTGTTGTATAAAGAGTTTATCTCCAGGAGTATTTTTTTTATAATTTGCTGTTTAAAAACAAAAATAAAACAATAAAATAATAATAATCATAAAAACCCCACCAAGCAATAAACAACAAAACAAACAAAAAACCCCCACAATAAAGCTTCCAAAAAACCCCCAAACCAAACAAACCCCCCAAAAACCACTAAAGTGGAGTTCATTTTACTTGTCTGCTAAAAATAGGTTTTGCCTATATGCCTCTTAACTTGCATATAGTGGCTTTTCTCCAAAATGATGAAAATGGAGTAGGGAATAAAGCAAAGAGACAAAGAAGGAGTAAGATTTCAAGATAAATGTTTGTAGAGGTCACTTCTCCCTTATATTTGTAATGGCTTCATTTAAATAGAAAAGTCTAGAACCCAACAGGATGTTCAAATTAACTCTGTTTTATTAATAGCTGTTGACACCTCCTTTTAAAATAGTTTCCTTTGAATAATACATTGTTTCTAATAAGCCTAAATTGTTTCAAGATTCCTTTTTCATTATAAAAATGGATTATTCTCATTATAATAATTATGCATTCACTTAATTTGGCAGTTCACATTGATCATTTGCCTTTTTAAGTGCATTCACAGTTAAAGGTGTAAAACAAAAAGAGACTTTCAGATTACATAAAACTGAATGATGAATTACATAAAACATTAGATATGTCCTCATTGAACTAAGAACAGATTAATGTGTTCCCAAATACACTTTTGTTTTTACTTTGTCTTTCACTTTTGACTTTGTGATAATTTAGGAGTTATTTTTATAGATTTAGATTTTCTTACATTATCTGTTTCTTTTTAAGCATTTTTGACTTCTTAACTGCCTTTTTTATTGTTTTTCAATTTCATCATCATCTTTCTAATCACTGTTTCTGCAAAGGGCTCTTAGCC